CTAAGTACTAATTTATGCACAACTTTCTTATATTTTAAACGTTATTGGTCACACTTCAACTTTTGTAAGGGAAAGGTTTAGATAGAGAATTGTCCAAAATTATCGAAAATCGTGTAAACGGTGTTTAAAAAGGGATGTGTAAAATATCAAAGGTATTTAAGTAGAAAGTTTCAGTCGTTTCTTGTGTATAAATAGGTTTTGATAAAACTTATCTTTAAGCTGCATATTGGGAGGAACGAAATTAAAGTTGCAAGTGAGTCCCACTAAGTTACCTTGATTCACTGATAAAGATACGAAAGTTGATAAAAGTATCGTTTAAATTCGATTGTCATTTTTTTCGAAGTTAGGTAAAGTTTTTTAAAAATTCGGGGGGAAATTAAGGGGGGGTATTTTTGTTGTATTTGTGTTCGTTTTGTCGATCGTATTTCATGGGGTAGTTACGCGTAGAACGCGCGAGCGGCGTAGAGGCGCGCGGTCGGCAAGCGCGGAGGTCGAAGTAGGACTGACGCGCGTTGACGATATCCCTCGGATGCACACCTTACATTATTTTGCAACGCCAATTGAATACGTAAACTTTGTACAATCTAGCATCAAAGATACACTGACAAAAATTATTAAGCAAACTAATTCGCTTACTCAACTTTATATTTTTTTTTATCTTTTAAAATATGAACGAATCATCATGGATGTTCGATGATGAACGGAAATTGTAAATTTCAACTACGACAAAACACTCAAAAAATGTGTGCATTTTATGTTGAATTCTTTTATGATTTAAATATTTTATTCGCGTATACGTTAAATGGTCGGAAATTAGAAATCTTTTTAAATGGATTTTATCTCTTGTAAGCGTTTTAATTAAATCCGTCGGTTTGATTAAACGAAGATTAGAATGCAATTTGAGCAGATGGAAATTTAATCATTTTCATAATGGAGATGCTAGTAGATTAATAGGGAGTTTTAATTTCCGAATGTATCAGGGAAGTTCCGTTATGGGTTTCAGTTTTTACAACGCCCAATTATTTACCGCTGTTTAAAAATATGTCCGTCAATATTAATTGCGTAAAATTTGATTGATATGATTTGTGTTATAAAAAAATATTATATTTAAAATGTAGTTTTAGCCATAAATCCTTTTTTTTAGAACTTCTTGAAAATGTTCTGCAGTAGAAAATGTATGTACTAAAAATCATACAGACGAAGAACCTTCTCCTTTTCTGAAGTCGATTTAAATGGACATAAATAAGTTACGTGAAATCTTCATTTCATATAGGTACGGCCCGCGTCAGATTTCGTGGAACCACGCGATATTTGATGTAAAATATTAAAACTTTTCTTTTTAAAATTCGTTTTTGTACATTCATTTAAGATGGTCAGTATCTTTTGAAAGATTTCCGTCCATGAAAACCATCCATACAACTCTCTATTGATATACCGAAAATTTTCTTATAAGAAGCTTAAGTAGCGTATTCGAAATTTGAAATTCAAAATTTTTCATCTATCAAAACCATATCAAGCTTATGAATACCATAGGTCAGATTTTCACTCCCACTTGAACGTAATAGTAAGAGAGACCATAAAACCATTTTATGATGGACCTCTATGAGTAGTTCATTGCCACTACTCTGCATAAACGGTTATATCATTTTCCATTAACAAACCGTTTCGATGTCGATATAATATTAATTTAATAACCTCTACAACTAAGTATACGTAGCACCAATTTGATTTTCAACTTATATAAGTGTACACTCTACCAGTATAGAGTAACACTAATAAGATTCGTTTCAATATTCGACCGTAATGTATCAAATTTTTAAAAAGTAAATTAATGTATGAATTTTTAAAATTTAAGATATGTAAAAGCGTACTCAGGTAATTCGCGACAATAACAATCCATCTTTCTTATTTTCCTTATTCCATTTCTCATTAAGCACGACAACACACACGGAATTCCTCTCGGATCACGTCGGAGACGTCACTAAATAAGATCCATCAGGACGAGTGGCGGAAATTTTATCGATTTTCAACAAAACATGAGCATTTTTTTCTGTTTATACAGGCTGTCCCAATATGTTAAAGGCTAAGTAAAGTAATTGAGTGGATATGTAGAATATTTTTAGCCCCATAAGTGTAAAGGAATGTAAAATAATAAGCCAAAATGCTTTTGATATTCGTGAAAATCGTGACTTCAGCTATTACGAAAATGTGACTGAAGTGGGTCACATCTTAAGTATACACTTAGATACTTACTCTGTAGAGTATTTTGTAGTCATAAGTAAATGAGTCACATTTAAAACTGTTAGGAGTTTGAACATAAAACGTCTTAACTACGACAATATGTTTTTTTAAACTTAATTCTCTCGTCGTTTAACACTTTGATTTAGCCTTAAACAAACAAGATAACTTCTCTATTGTATAAATATTTTTAATATTCATATCTAGCTGTGCCCGTGCGGCTTCTTCCGCATAAAATTACCAAAACTATATTTCCCCTAAGTTTAATAGCGTGAAAATGTATAGTCTAATGTATGTCGTAAGTGTAAAGCTTTTTATTAAAAAAAAAGAATAATTCAAATTAACCTTCGCCACAAAGTAGTGTTTTTAGGCTTTATTATATTAACATAGATGGGAATTAATAGAATTTAAAACAAAAAAAAATACGTTTACGTCGATCCGTAGCTTGTTTGTTGTGCGTAGACGCATCACATGACGCGCGATGACGTCATCCTGCCAACTGTCGACGCCGAGTCTATTCTAGTCCGCGCGACGTTTCCTTGGATCACGACCACGACCGAGAGCATACAAAATACTTGACGACATTCAAAGGTCGATTGTACGATCGCAATTTTCATATTTGTATTGACGTACACTATGAGAACACGCTGTATATAGTGTACTTCGGGAATGAAAATCTTACCTTTTCCTGACAGAAAAGTAACGGTTAAGTAATATTATGTTGAGATACAAATGTGTTTTTAGAAGATATTCTCAGTTGAAGGATTTAATTTTGTCTTCATCAACTTTAAAGCTCTCTAATACATAATTTAAATAAATTTAGGAAGGGGCAAGTTTAGGTAGATTAGTTTATTTTGTGGTCTATCACTTCTTTCTCGCTCCGCAAAGTGTGGAGTAATTTATAACATCCTGTATATTAACGATTTTTTTTACATATTATTTTATAAGATGAAAGTGTTATAAAACGATTTAGAATGCATACTTTGAATGAATAAATTAACGTTAAAAAGGCACTTGAATGTATTTATAGTTGTTTTCCGAGGCGGAATTTTCTGTCTCGCTATGTTCTAATTAAGATAATTCAATGAAGAAGAACTGGCGCAAATATTTTCGTCGCGCAGTGTTCCACAATATATTGAACAAGTCCCAAAAATAATCTCTCAGTGTAGTGGCTAGCAAATGCTGCAGATATATTTATAACTGAGGACATTTCGATGTTATGTTTAATGTAAACAGGTGATGGATATCTAGAAATATTGTCAAAGTTTGTATACTACTTAATAAATTTTACTTACAACTTTACTTTTATACTTTTTAAAATATATGTTAATCAAAGATGTCACAAAACAAAATCACATTATTAGTTTGAGAAGTTTGCTGGTAATTTTGTAAAGAACAATAGACATATAAACTACCAAAAAGAATATCAAAAGTGTCAATAACTGTTACTTTCTTATTTCAAAAAAAAAATTTAGCCACCTTATACCTCTGATTTTCTTTTTCGAAAAAAAAAAAAGAGACAGCGTATATGTAAGCATATGTAAGTATCTTTCGACAACCCATCGTACCGATTCGTAGAGCATAAGCTACGACATCTACAGACTTAACATTCTCATAGCGCCATCTAGTATAAGAATTGGAACGGTTTAACAGAGCCATCTACATTATAACTGAAACTGCACAATAGTTGCATAATACTTGCAAATATTATTTACCAAGTTCTTACATAGATGGCGCATTTTTTAATTTCTCAAAAAGTTTATTAAATTTAAATGGTTTAGACTATTTTAGAACTTTGAAATCATGAAAGTAAAAGAAATAACTAAAAAGTGAAAGTAAGTTATTTCAAGTTAAAAAAAATTATTACATACGCTTATTTTTAATATTAAGTAAAGTTACACATATTTTTCATTAGTAAGTATTTTATGTAATTCGCTATTCATGTAGACAAATGTATATTATAAATGAGAGAGAATGCAACGTTGAATGGAATGCATGAGTTGCTTAAAATTGGGTCAAACAGAGGTCAAGGCTTTACATCTTTGTCTGCGAAACGAGATCCCAGCCATCGCAGATTGAACCGAGTGTAATATGAAAATATTATATAACTTTTCTTAGATTACTTTATTCTCTCTTATTCCAGTTATAAATATGTTAGAGAAAAACCATTATTTAAATTAAAAAAACTAAAGACTTTTTCAGATTAAATCTTGCTCTTAACTACAAAGAAACTATCTCAAATATCCGTGGCATTAAGTTGTCTCATATATTTTATATTTTTTAATTAAAAGACTAGTTTCTTAAGGTGTCAAATACCCATATTCATCCTTATTGGACACATATCAATGAAATAACTATATATTTTCAATATTTACCAAATTAATGCATACTTATGAAAAACAATTAGTGCTAAGAGGTCGTTTAGTCTCAGAACTGTAGCTAATCCTAGAAGTGTTTAAGTATTTTATTTTTATTATTTCAATTCCTTATTTATTCATACTAAAAGTTCATAAATCTAGTTTCGCATAAACAACCTTTATTTTTCTCCCTAAATCGCATCTAAACAATTGTTTAAATCAACCTCGAAGTGTGTCAACAGCTAAGCGACACTTGTAAAAATTGGGCAGCGTTCGCTGTGGTTTGTTGCCAATGAGGACACGTCTGCGAGTAACTTGACAAGCTGGGGTAGGCTGCGCGCGCAACCGCCGCCATTTTAAATTTCCTTCTCTCTCCCGTGACACTGTGGAGCCCCAGGACGTAGTTAACAGCTGTGAGCGCGAAAGAGCACCATCAAGGGCTAAGTTTTCTGATATAGATGGTTAATATTTGCTCAAAAGGATATTTAAAATACTAACCAGTGTTGAAAAATCATCAAGAATGCATAAGAAGTGTTAAAAGTTATATTGGAGAGATTACGAAAGAGTCGTTGTGGACGTATTGATTTTCAAACCAACAAGCTGGCAGTATTGAATTATTAAAGAACGAAGAAATTATTGAAATATTTTTCAATAAGTGTTGTGCTATTGGAAGTTACAAAGCTTTACCGAAAAAAATCGATAACCGCGTAGTCTGACATCTGCTTGCGTGATGCGAATCTAAAAGAGATAGCTATAGGCGGAGAGCTGTACCCTTACACCGCCGATAGCCAGTCTGCTGATAAAATATAAATACAGAAGTACCCTTCGCAATTGAAGTCGAGAACTAATTAAAGGTTGGTACCCTTATACATTTTTAACATTTTATTTATACTTGAACCAAAATTTTAACTTTACTTGAATCATATTTACAAAATTTAACTTATAAACGTGTATTGTATACTACAATATTGTTTTGTTTTACTATTACTTTTACTAATTGACAAAATTTGCTAAATGTTTTTTCAAAGTTAAAGTTAATATCTTTTGTCTTGTCGTTCGTTGTTATTTTTGAAATTATGGAAATATCCTTATCACTATTACATAATTATGAAATCTACATCCTAATAGAAATTACGTCTTCGCACAAATTTTCCTCTCAATTTAAGAGATCATTCCCAGTAACGCCTACAATGTTTGAGAACGCCCACGGAATCGTCTATAATTATACCTCTGAGATCACAATTTTTCCTCAATTACCACGCCTTATATGAAAATTAATATTACAATGATCATAAATATTGCGAATCTCCCTAATTATGTACAAGTAAAAATAATTACGTAATATATTTTATTCATCGATTTGTTTAAGAGAAGAAAAGCAGGAAAGAAATATATTTTTAATTGTAAATAAATCCATAAATTGCGAATTAAATACGATATTGTTTGTTGTAAAATTGCATATAGAGAGAAATAATTAAGATTTCATGTGATATCCTTATACGAGTAATATTCCGAATTTTACTTAGTTATTCTTAGTATGTGACCAATGATGAAAAGATATAAATATCTTAGAAAAACCAGTAAAAGGATATGTAAGAAAGAACATCCTGACTATGTAAGTCAGATATCCTATTTATAAATAGGTCATATTACCTAAGCTTGTCTAGTAGCCAGCCTTCCTCTAACTTTAAGTGTAAGAAAGTAATATGATACACGTTATAAAGTTAACCTACCATATTTGTCTATTAAGTAAAAAAAAAATGATGGACCAAGACAATTTTGTACAAAAGGTACTTTTTTTTCTATAAATCAGACATAATAGCTGAAATTGTTATTATTTAATTTCAGTTTTTCAATTTATTTTTTTCTGAACAAATGAATGTGTTTCCATTAATACGAGGGTGGAACAAGACAATATATTTCGTATTTTTCCGTTACACTGTAACACCATGGGTAGTAATTATACTTTTTAATTTATGTCTTCGCCAAGTGACTTGACTCTGTTTATCATGTCAACTGAACCTAAAGCGGGCAATGTCCTGAATAAGTAATGAACGACCTTTTAATTTTCCTGTAAAAATATTTTGCGAAACACGAATGAAATGCTTAAGCAAAACAATACAAATTCATTAACAACAATAGGTCAAATAAATTATATCTGTACAAATATTACAAACCATTTAAAAAACAATTAAAGACCAAGAGATTTTCTTATAATTTCTTTACATTCATTCTTCTTCTTATTATATCTAAATATGTTCCAAGTTTTTTTATATCTTCAAACCAATTCTTTTGCAAGAATTTTGCGGGAAAATTAAACAATTACAATTTTTTTTATTAAAATAATTAAGTGCTGTCGCTAATCAAGAGCGATATGGTGAACAGCTAAAGCATATTTCCAGTTAGAAGCGACAGAGATAACTAAATTTGTTGAATTCAAATGTCGGTATGCAACGTGTAAAGTAAAAACAACCTTATTGGAAACATAATACAATATAAATTTAAACGTTACATAAGATTAGAACATACAAAAGTACTGGGTTAGCTTATTCGTTTACTGGATTTTGTACCAGAGAGTTGTAGAAGTAATTGTCTACGCTTTAAATATGATTATTAGTGAAAATCTAGCGCAAAAAATTATTTACCCTGTAGTTACTTCAGAAAATGGAGAGGTACTAGAAATATTTGGATGTCATGTGATTTAAAAAAAATAATCTATTACTTTTTTTTAGATGGGTGGTGCTGATATCAAATGGCAGAAGGATGCTGGAGACCAGAACTTCGATTACATGTTCAAACTTCTTATCATCGGAAACAGTTCCGTCGGGAAGACCAGGTACTTTTTACATCAAGTCTATGGCTGTTAATAAAACGATTATATGAACATTGATACCATTGTTTAGTACTGCAATAATTATTATAGTTATACATGTTTGATTAACATTTCTTTAATTCATGCCATCTTTACTAATATTATAAAGAGGAAAGATATGTATTTTTTATGTGTTGAAATAACTCAAAGACTATTGGGCCGATTTCAATAATTATTTCACCACTAGAAAGTATATCTGTGCGAAACATAGACTACATTTTTTATTATTTTTAATTTCTCGCATATGCAGTCGCAAACAATAGCTAGTCCTTTATAAAATTTCAGTTTCCTATTTCGCTACGCGGACGATTCCTTCACTTCAGCCTTCGTATCCACTGTCGGCATTGACTTCAAGGTGAAGACAGTTTTCCGTCACGACAAACGCGTTAAACTCCAAATATGGGTAAGTTTTAATATTTATTCTGACCTATTTGTATCTGGATAGTTTTGATTTTAAATTTATCAATATTTAAGTAGTTACAAATGTCTTCCTTAAGAAAGAGAAGGCTTAATAGACAAAGGTTGATTGTGTATAAAATGAGCATTTATTGTGTGCAAAAAAATTGTCACATAATGTGTTCCAAATCCCACAATCCAATTGATACAATTAATCAAATAGGAAAAATCCCATAATATTGATTGATTTAAGGCCTTGTCATATAATAAACCAGAATGAAATACAAGTCTTTGAAACAATGTAGTTACCCTTTAACTTTCTTTGTATGTACGATTACCTTTAAAATTTCTTATGTGCATTGTTACTTATAGGACACTGCTGGCCAGGAGCGCTATCGCACCATCACAACTGCGTATTACCGAGGCGCTATGGGCTTCATATTAATGTACGATATAACCAATGAAGAAAGTTTCAATAGCGTTCAAGATTGGTACGTATCGTAAATATAAAAACTTTAAAAACTAAAACGATATAAGGTCGACAATTTCTCAGCTGTTTTTGGGTATCGAAGGAATAGTACTGGAAATAATGAATTCATCGTGGTTGTAGGGTAACTCAAATCAAGACGTATTCGTGGGACAACGCCCAAGTGATCCTGGTGGGCAACAAGTGCGATATGGAGGAGGAACGCGTGGTGAGCGCCGAGCGCGGCCGGCAGCTCGCCGAGCAGCTGGGCGTCGAGTTCTATGAGACCAGCGCTAAAGAAAATATTAATGTCAAGGTAAGAACAGATTTTAAAGGACACTATACGTAAAGTTCATAGTCATATCATAGTAGAAACGCTGAACAGAACAAACTCCTTGGTCTATACTAATCAAATAAAGATTTACATTATTGTATGTATTGAAATAACTCAAAAACTACTGGTCCGATTTTAAAAATTCTTTCACTATTAAAAAGCAATGTTGTCATAGGCCATATTTTTATTTTCAAGCAGGCGAAGTCGCGAGCAACAACTAGTAAATTATATTATGTAAGATGTGATGTTAATATTATTTTTTTATTATATATATTTGCCAGCCTATTTGTCTGATACGGTTAGTTAAGCCAAAATAGAAGTGACTTTTCAAATTAATTTAAATATTTTAGTAAGTCTGATTAGTCTGCCACAGCTGTTCAGATACTTTACTAATCACTAGTTAGTTTGTCTACCTTAAATTGTAAGTTGTAGATAGAATAGTATGATGTAAACGGTTCTGTATCTTATTAAAAACTTATTGCAGACGGTGTTCGAGCGCTTGGTTGATATAATATGCGACAAGATGTCCGAGAGCCTGGACTCTGAACCAGCGATGCTTGCTGGCGGCGCGCGCGGCCAACGTCTCACGGAGCAGCCGCAGAACAACGCAAACCCCAACTGCAACTGTTAAGAAAATTATTCTATACATTACTTACTGGACACTATTTACACGAAGCCTTGTACTGAATTATCTGCGATTCCGTCGTTTCTAGCTGACGTACAAAAGCTCACTTTGCAAGTCTAGATTGACTTATCGATGTTAAATGTTCTAATGGAAATGTTTGCCAAGAATGTCCTGTTATTTTTTTCTATCTAGGTTTTATTTTTCAATCTTTCGTCCTTTGATAGTTTTGTTTATTTATAAGTTAATGTTAACATTCTTTTACGTCAGTTCTAACATTTTTTCTATTACTTATCTACGTAAGTTTTCGTATAGGTCTAATTCTACGTTATAAAAATCATATAATTAAATGTATCGCCATGTTGTTAATGTCTTTATTAATTTCAAAATTTAGTAGAAAATTAGATAAACTTGATGTGAATGTATCGCTGAATACATTTTATTGTTAACAACGCATTTTCATTGATGTATGTAATTTAGAATTGTTGAAACTTTGTGTAACAATAATAACATGTATTAGTATTGATAAATAATATAGATGTTAAGTAGCTACTCGTATCTATACTGCAAGCTGGAGTAGAGATCTGATATAATTTAGATATGAAAATTTTCTATGCTTCACGTTAAATTTCCAAGCATTTCTGTTGCAATTGACTTAATATTAATTTCAAAAAATATATAACTTAAGGTGTGAAAGCCTTTTAATTTTTCGAATTGCGCAAAATCAATAAATTTACGGAAAAAATGTTTGATATGTCACGTTCGTCAAAGCTGCGAATAATGGACCAAAATCAAGAATAAGGAAATGTTCACAAAAATAGTTCTAAAAAGGCGCAAAATATTTTTAGACATGTGTTTTTCATTATAGAAACTTTGTAATTCATATTACCTCATTCCTCGCATTTAGTTGCTTAAAGTTTATAGTTTTAATAATGTTCAGAAGTAAGTTATTTTATTTGTTAATGCATGATTAAAACTATTTTATTTAATTGTAAAACTTTAAAGATATCGTATGAAAACTTATATGCTTTGAATCTGAAAACTCGCAAGTAAAGAGTCGCTTGATATCAGTATTATTGGGAAAACTTAGCTTTTATCTATACGTTGATTGTATGCAGCGTTTGTAAATACGTTTTATTAATGTGTAAATTTACAACTGTGTATAGTATATCTACATGCATATAAATCCGTTTGTATTCTTGTTACCTATGCTATGTAATTTGGGAATTACTTAAATCTGAAATATTAATGATACCTAATTTTTGTCTCACGCCTAATCAAATGTAATAGTGAAATTTCACTGCTGCGTCACTTGTATTAAAAAACATAATTGTCTTTATTTTTCTTAAGAGAAAGTAAAGGACAACAATATATATTAATACAAATATGTCGGCAGTTTACACCCACTCTTATAAGGTTTGTCGCAGTAACAAACCGATCTATTAGTTTTAAATGTAGACAATATAGACAATACAATTTATATCAAAATTCTGTTTAACAGCATGCACATTATTTTTAGACTATAAGTAAGGTGTGACATTAGGTAGCTTTACTGACATCTTTTGATGAAACTCTACCAATTATACGTATATAATTTGGGTCCTATTAAATACACACTCGTCTATATTTCCGTACCTGTAGCGTGGTCGAATTGAGGCTTTCTTGTATAATCATTATTAATTATTAATAACCTTTAACCACATTATAACAAACTATATTAAAGGAATTGGATTACAATTATTGCCCAATTATAAATAAAATAATGAGCCTCTAGTAGTATTTATAAATGTCAATTTTTGCGGATCAATTACACAGGATCCAAAAAAATGATAATGACGGGACATAATTTAATAAAAATAAAAATATTGGTTTTGATGGATGACAATGTAGAGATGGTCCTATAGCGGGCGTGGAAGCATATCTTAGAGAAAGGATTTAGATAAATTACTTTTGTTTATGAAACAATAAAATACAATAGATTTCAATAGTAAAATGACTTTATGACCAAAACATGAATATTTGATTAATATTTTCTATTCTTTAGTTTTAATTTAGATTATTTAAAAAAAATGGTTACAGTTTATCTGACACAAATGTAGTAGTTCACAAAAAAAAAAAACTATAATCGTTTAGCTGTATCTATAAATGTATGTTAATATTTGTTGTGTGTTAATAAAGAAATTATTTAAAAGAAACAACTGTGTAAGAGATTTACTGATAATATACAGTCTATATACAAAATGATTTTTAATAGCTGCCTTTACCTCTAATCTTTCTATATTAGAGAAGGGTCCATAATTATTTCACTGCATTTTACTTTTCACTCTTCATAACAATACTTTTTCTAAGTACAATTTTTAAATCAAAATTCAATCAAAATTAGATTTAAAAAATATTCAAAGATGCAGGTATTTATATCCAAAGGATTCCGCTAACCAACATAAGTATGAAATAAAAACAAAAGGCAATCAAATAAAACTATAATGTAGTCAACACAACACGTTTCAAAAAAGAAAAACAAGAGATAGAGGTTGTTAATGGTAGCCAGTAGTCAACTAGGTCAATCGATACGTTTGTGTAGATGTAAAGCAAGTCAAGGACAATTCGTGAACTACGAACAAATTGTTCACGTAATAATTGAAATGTTCACAAAATGAAATAATGTAGTTTACAGTCTTTGCAATAACTAGAAGCCTACAGAACTTTTCAGCAAAATTATAAAAAAAAACATATAATTATATTAAACGTATTTAATTTAATTCTTATTAAAAAGTCTTTCTGAGAACCAAATAAAGGGGGCACGTTAGTCCTCCAAAGAAAATCTCAGTTCTGTCCTCTCTTGAAATGCGTTTGAACTTGTAAGTATGAAGTAAGTTATTCTACGACATACTTTGTTCGAAATATCTTACACCAATAGATGGCATTGTTTTAAATTTAATATCAACGTTGTGATCAAGAACTCTTCTAGAGATAGTATCAATTTTAATACTGAAGACCAGACACTTAGAACCTGAAAAAAAATATAGTTAAAAAATGTTATAACTCCTTTTTATTGAAATAAATTAAGAACATAAAACGAAATTCCATAATGTTATTTGAGATTGTTATTCAACAAGAATCAGGAAAATCTGAGGTATTGTAGATTCGATGTCGACAAGAACGCACACATTTCACTAAACTATCGCACAAATGTTTAGTCGCGCTTTGATTCCTTTGACTTTATATGGAGAGGAAGCACCATACTCAATTTTTAGTTATTCTACTAAAACGTTGAATGGGCTGCGAAACATTTGACAATCACACAACAGCTGTGTGATTTAGTCAAAGGTGTGCGACCGATCTTATATTGGAAGACATACAGATATATAAGTATATACAGACTGTTAGAACTTAACAGCTGCATTATGTCTGCATGATTCCGAGCTAACATGATTATGCATTAAGTGTTTAAGCATACACGTCCAATAATTACCATAAACATACCTAATTTTGGTAACATACGACACTGGGTGTCAAAATTACTTTTTTAACAGTTTTAACCGACTATTCTTTGACCACTGAGATTACTCTTAGCGCATATTCAGTATAAGACACGCTTAATAAACAATTAGAGTCAGAGTGTGATAGTGTTATTGCAGAGTAAATTCGGGTCATTAACAATGTAATAATAACAGTCCCTGTATAAAAATCTCATTTAAAATTAATGTCCCTTGTTTCGGTTTGCGCCGGCTCCCTAACTGACGAGGGCAAACCGCCGCTAATCAGTACATGGATACGCGACGACACAAATACTCCATTAGGCTACGTCATTACACCTACATTACGTTTAACCGCAAAGCAATTTGTACGCGATTGCCGCGGCTTGTTGTACGATTGTCGCGCATAGTCATTATTTTACCCCAAAAAGTTTAACAGAGTTTTTTTATACAGCATTTATCTGATCTCCAGATGGACTGACGACTTAGTGCGCACGGCGGGAAATCGTTACGATACTCTACATATTTTATATTGTAAATCTAACCAGCGCACCCGCGGACAAACCAATTATATGGTTTTTGCGGGGCCATATTTGTACGTGTTTTTAATTTGTTTGTATGTAATATTTTCAATAAAATAAATAATAATGTGGAAAGCGGAGGACCGCATTCTGTGGAAGGCATTGGGGAAGGCCTATGCCCAGCAGTGGGCAAACAAAGGCTGATGATGATGATTTATCTAATACTGGTTTTCGCCCACGACAAAATTCGCGTGCAGTTTAAAAAAAAACGTAGCAACCTATGTGTTCTTCCAGATTATCCTCTACATCTATGGCAAACTTCATTGAGACCCGTTCAGCTGTTAAGACTAAAAACTCTAAAAAATATTCATCCATCCATCTCAACTGTCGCACTTATAATTTTAGTAAGATTAATGAGTTTTAGTTCATTTGAAGTAAAACTCATATTTGTCAGCACTTTTCTTGTTCTTTCAATTTAATTTACTTGCTTCTTTATAGCTCCGATAGCTTAAAAATGACGTCAATGTCAGATAAGGGAACATAATCTGATATTTCCATTACATATTTTACTCGTTGCATCGTATCACATAATTTACAATTTGGTAGGACAGGCTCTCAGGCTTGCAATGTCTTGTAACTCTTTTGAATTTATCGAAAGTTGATGAAGTTTTATATCAGTTATCGAAAGATCCTAGCAATTCATTTTTTTTCATTATTCTTACAATTTCACGTTTAAATTTAATTTCAACGTTATTTGGATTTAAATATATGCAGAGTAATCAGTAAGATTCATTAATAAGTCATCAGGTTATCGTGATTTGTTTCTTTAATGTTGTTTTTAAATATTTTATCAATTACTAAATGATAAAGAGCATGGTTATTGTAGCTATTGGAGATAAGTACTCGTAAAACTGAACGTTTGTGTCCGGACCTGACTGCAATAGACCACTCATTAGTTGTCGACGAAGCCTCGTTAGTGAGCGGATTACAGTTATTGACAGCAATAACTTTAATGAACTTCATCTAGAAATCGATTGCTTATTTAGATTTAGGGCCTGTCCACCAAATTGTAAATTGTCTGTGTAAACGTGTAAATTATGTGGTGGCAGTATCGTAATTTGTTACCTTATCTGACAGTGACGTCTTTTTTAAGTTATCTGAGTCTCTATCAGCCAGTAGAGGGAGAGGCCCTTAGAATTGTCGTTATATCGTATGGCGAAACATGCTATGTTCTTTAGATATTTTAACACTTGATAGAAATTCACGCTCCCTTCAATTTTATTCTTAAGAGAGATCTATTACATACTTCTTAGAATCTAGGCAATAATTTTTAAGGCTTTATTATTGTTTTTGTTATTATGATCTCCGCATCTTTAAGTTTGTCTTTTTTCGTGTTAAAGCTTACAGTTTACGATTTGCTCGTAATTTATTAGGGTACGCTTTATCTGGCTACAATTCACTCTTTTATGTTATTTTTTACTTTAAAATTTACTATCTTTATAAAGAAAAATTAGCGATCTGTATTTATTGTTCTGTTGCAATTTTTAAATGCGCTATAAACAATGTAAATTATTTTTTATATACTTTTTAATTAAATCTAAAGGTCCGTTTATTTACGAATTAAGAAATCAATTCCCAGAGATAAATACGATCAGCGATTAAAACGCAAGTAATTGTATTACAAATTGTAATTCAGGTCGTTAGTGACCGCTACACTATAGCCGGCTTGATTCTCGTGCAAACACAATCTCAGCTCAGGTATTTACGTAAGCAAGCTCAAATGCTAATACGGTTAACGATACTGCGCTTTTAATATATTTTTAATGCAATACAGAGAATAATGGAGAATGTTTGTAAAGTAAGAAATTAGGAGAGAAAAAATGTTTTTTAATTAAAACGAACATTTAACAATATGCGACACAGGTTACACTTTTATAGTTTTGATATGTTTTAATCCATAAAAATTAACACAAAAGGCTGTCTTCATAACAAATAAGTAACTTGAATTATTCTAAATCTCATACAGTATTTGTTATAAGTTTTATAGCGTCTAGACAACTCTAACCACCATTTGTCAATATTTTAGTTCGAAGTAGCTCGCTCAACATACGTTGACCACATACTAATTTAAAAGGTATGATACGTTCATAAAAGGTTATTAAAATCAAGATATTGTTTGATAAACAAAACTATAATTTAAACATGGGTACCTGTTATCTGAATACTTGTAGCATTGTTTAATTTTTAAACATTTTTACTTATCGCAAAATAACAACCATCATAAAACACTAAACCCTCTATACGTCCTCACTGAGGGACTGGGAGCCTACCTTAACTAAGAGGTAAATAGGCCTTATTCAATAACAATAACTTTTCCTAATCAGTATAACAGTGGTAGAGCCCGCTTTAACATCTTAGCACGAATGGGCCGGCTCGCCCGGTGTAATACCACGACCACACAGAAGACAGGCGTGAAATGGAACCAATGCCGTGTTTCGTCTGATGAGTGTGGTGCCGGAGGCCTAATTTAAGTCCATTACTCTATACCACCCTTTTCCTATAAGAGGAGGATGGGAAGGGGAAGTGGATTTGACGGTAAAGGAGATGCATAGGAAGGGGAAATATCCTCTTTATGTGCGTCTCCTCCTCCGTCAGATAAGGGTTGGCAACGCATCTGGAACTGCGGATGTCTATGGGTAGCGGTCGCTTCGCCATTTTGGCGGATTCAGGTGGCCGCTTGCTCGTTTGCCACCTTATATTATATATAAAAAAAAATCAAATAACGGTCTTAATTATAAAGACTCAGAGGGACTAAGGCTAACTTGTTTACTAGTTCCTTTGATAACAAAGTCTAAGGTGTTTGCAATTACTTTACCGTGTTGGGCTGCAGCCAAATTTTGTGGTCGTTTTGTTAGGAGTTAAGACTAGCCATCTGAGACATACCTGGTTAGTAAGTGGAGGTAACAACGGTGTCCATGAATTGGGACTTTTTAAAAATATTTGTTACAAAGGTTTCTGGTTACATTGTATAGCAGCACTTCTTTTGTTTATTTAGAGGTGACAACGAGGTGAAATCAAATTAAGGACACTTTTTTTTTCGATCATTTTTTTGAATCAATTTTTATTGCAAATTTGCTAATAAAAAGTCGAGATCATTGAATTTAGATCCATATATTAAGATTAGAATCGTAAGGTGAACAAGTGACCTTTAAGTTCTTGGGTATCATTTTTATATTAGTGTGTAGGTTGATTTTATATATGGGTGCATCCAAAATATATGACAAGTAATTTTTTGCCTTTGTGAAATATTTTCTGTTATCAATATTTTTGTATTTTATTCTCAACTAGCTGTTATTCGTTATTTCGTTGCCGTGGAATTAAAAATAATAATAAAAGATATAGCCTATGTTACTCACAGATAAATTACCTTTCTAATGGTGAAAGAATTTTTGACATCGGCCCAGTAAGTTTTGAGTTATTTCAATACATACAAAAATACAAATATTTTCTCTTTGTAATATTAGTATAGATATGGATTATAGTAAATCTTTTCTAACTTCAATTTTTGTTGGACTTTAAATGCAACTATGTTACCTTTGCTACTTTATCTCTTTCAATTTTTTCAAAATTCGCTTGCGAAAACCAATAAGTCTAGTTTTCATGCTTAAAAAATAAGATTCATATTGTGATAGGACAGGGTTTTATGGGACAATAGTTAACTGGTAGATTCAAACGACCTAAAGTTAGCAATCCTTATACTCGTAAGTACGTAAGAAATTGGCAGTCTTTGGTATCATATTCACACTAAAATGAGATATAAATTCATATGATAAAAAAATTTCATCGTGGAATTTTATAATTAAGTTTCTGTTTATAAACATACTACCTGTTTCCGTGCGGCTTCATCCGCATGACTTAATGTTTTATTTTATTGTTTACATTTATCAAATTAGGAATTGCAAATGTCAAAATGTCTTGATGACAAACCGTGGTTATCTTACTTCCTTAATGTTGGCAGCTTGTAGCCTATGGTCCCTTTCCCACATTAGGGTTTTTATCCAATTTGTTTACCCTCTAAGTTTAAAAGCGTGAGAATATATAGCCTAAAGCGTGAAGTAAGTGTAAGGCTTTTTATTAAAGAAAGAATTATTCAAAAGTATGCTGTGATTGCTGACATCTTACGCCACAAAGTAGTGTGTGTTTACTCTTTATTATATTAAGTATAGAGTATAGATAGTATAGATATAGAATATAAAACTATGATTGTGTAATTATCGTAAAAGAAATGTTTTTCTATAACTCTCAGAATGTGGTATGCCACTGTAGATATAAACGCTCCGATAAAATCCAACAGTGCGTAATGTAAACGTATTTCTATACGAATATCGATATCCTCTTCACAATAGAGTGCAGGGAAACATAAAAATGCTACATTGTTTTGTATTCAATAACGTAACAGGTGTAAATTTCAAATTTCAATCAACCATATCCTTTTACACTATTCTTTTTGAATGTTTTAGAATTGAGTAACTACATTAAAAAAATGTTCATTTTCTACTTTTACAATTCACTAGTTTTAGTTATTTTTGCTTTGGAACTTTTGGTTCCTATACCTATAGTTCTTAGATAGTAATCGGGCGGTTAATTAAAATTACAGTTACCAGTTTGCATTGATTTATTTTATTACACAAAAGCTAAAAATTAAAATCAATCTATTATCACCTTTAAACTAAATTAATAAGGTTCTGATTTGAATTCACAGAAGTCAATTTTTGTATTTAAAAATGGTGTAAGTTTTTCTTCAAACTCCTTCCACGTACATGTACCGTCGGCGCAAATAGCTCGAATGGGTTCTTCGTTCAAATAGAAAACGACGTTGTAGTCAATTTCATCTTTCTTTGTACATCTGCAACAAACATAAAATGAGTATAGAATTTCTAGTTTCATTCCATATTACATTTCTATCTTTCAAATCTAGAATAAGAGATAGCACGTCTGATGTAGTCGTTACAATGTTCAACTAATACCCATAAATATGTGAGAATCAATTTATAAAAGGTTGTCAACTTTAAGACCGGGCGCACACCTTTGACTAAATAAAACTGTTGTGCGATTGTCGATTGTTTTGCAGCCCATCAACTGTTCAGTTGCTCAACTAAAAATCGAGTAGTGTGCGCAACTCCATATAAGGTCATAAGAATCAAAGCGAGACAAAACAGTTGTGCGATAATTTAGTCTCGGTTGTGCGCACGCTCATCGACTAATTAGATTAATAGTAACTTATGTTATCTGTTTCATAACATAATAATGATATTATTATAATATACCTGTTTAATACAGCTACAAGATTTACTGAGAACGCCGAATTAGCACTGCTCCGCCATTTTCGATCACGATCCCTGTTTGCACTACTCAAGGGCTTGTTGTCTTTAAACAAACCGAGCGATGTGTACACCATATCTAACATTGTCGCGTGTGTGAAATACGCTGTCATTTTCTTTCCATCACCTTCTTTTACCTTCTGGAAGGTTCTTAATAAATCAGCTAGAGGTATCTGACCGAATGTTTCACTTTGCGGGGTGCCGTAACCATTTCTGTAGTAAGATCTCAAGTCTTGTATGTATTCTAAGACTTGCAAGTCGTCTTTAGTGAAGAGTGCACACCAAGGGCTCAGTTTGCTCTCGACACCGGACCATGTGTGACGACATAAATCGTATAATGCAGTCACATTTGTGTCTGTCAGCTCGTAAGCGATTCCAGTTCTTCGTTGTATTCTATCTTTAGTCTGAAAGTGATATGTATTTTTACTTTATAGGATTTTCTACGTTAATTAACTTTTCGTTATACAAAAATATATTCTGCCAGTTTTTGCATTACATGAAGTTATTGATAGTTTTCACATGATTGTAGATTATTAAAATGATTTGGTAGTATTTTTCACGTACAGATTGAGGTTAAGTATGAGATGTTAGTCAGGTCAGGTGTGTTTTAATTAATTTTACGTTTAATTTCTTAGACGTTACCGAGACGTGCCAAGAAGAGTAGATTCTCTTGGCCTACTTTATATCGGTACTGAACAGGTTTGATTATAAACAATTAAACATATCATTTTATTGGAGATCTTGGTACTGATTTAGGTATCCAATGATTCAATTTGCTACAGAATAGTACAAAAAATATTTAAACACTGTTAAATGAGTAAAAATCGCGGACTACAACTTTATCATAAATGCTGAAGACTAACAACGGCGACAGACAGTATTATAAGTGAAGCAGTAATTTTTTTAATTATGTTTTGAAATGTAGGATATAGAAATATTTACTTACAGCCAGATATTCAGGGTTCTTTTTATACTTTTCTGATTCCTCGTATATGTTAGGATTTTTCTGCACATCCTTTTGATATTTCCCACAAGTTAAATAAGGCTGAAAAAAATTTATTAATCAATTAACTGTATTCATGTAATAATTATAGTTAAAGTTACGTTCTTTTATATTTGTTACATAATTTCATTAATATGTAAGAAGATGCTTACGGCCATAACATCAGATTCCGATAACGATTTCTCGGGGTGTATTTTATTATTGTTAAATGCTTTTATAAAAGCCTTCGCACTATCTTCTATCCATTTACCATACGCTGGACGGAACGTATGTTTATCCAATTTATCCAGTAAATTTGCAAAAGTGTGCCTAATCCGTTTTCCAATCCCATACATTTCTTCGTAACCTTCTGGGGTAAGTTCCGTGGCAGAGTCGAACATTTTCTTATCCGTCACCCATGCATCTAAATCTTCTATATCCTGAGCACAAAGAGAACTGCGTCCCTCTCTGTAACTAGACAGTATATCTTCGCGTATTGCTAACGCTTCATTCATACTTTTGCCAAACCGACTTGATGGATATCTTTTTCCATGACGCAATAAACCCCAGATGCTCACCGGTTCGCAGCCTGAAATAAAATTATTTAATAATTTCAACATTTTTTTTTTGAACTGAATTGCGACTTGAAAAGGCATTTACAGATTCACCGGGCTTGAGGTGGCCGAGCGCAGATGGCGCTTAGCCTAAACCTCATTTATGAGTAACTAAGCTCGAGGGCTCCTTCAGGAGCCTCGGCAGGGGCCGTTACTAAAAATTATACTAACAAAGTTATTGAAACTCACCTTTTAATACCACTAACGAATCTCTAATATCACCTCGAATAGCATTATATGATGTTTTAGATGCAAAATATTTATAAGGGCATCCGCTGTTCCAATGACAAAATGAAGCAAAACTACTTGTAAATAACGAGATCGTTAATATTGAAATTATATTATTTAACATTTTATTATAATTAATTTCACTTTGTATTATCTAAATGTAGTGAGACCTAGTCTCCATCGAGGTTGGGAGGTAACTAAATGCGGTATATTTCCATAATATGCTAATGTATTATTTGCTTCAATGTACAACAAACTCGTAATAAAAAAGGTAAATGTGATCTCATATTTATTTTGAAACTAATCTTGTCTTATTTTTTCTTTACCTGAATTCGTGAATTTATTTATGATCAAATTATTTTTTTGTTAATATTCTAAATGACAACTGTGATATTAAGCTTAAGCACTTAAGCTCTAACTTAGTATTTAATTGTTTTGGCATCAAAAGTATAAAACTTTACTCAATTCTACTTAACTTTTTATGTACGTAATTCTATATTGTTCGATGATGATCAGTAGGAATCAAATACAAGTTATGATTAGATTCAACTGGAGGTTGCAATGATAAATTCTTCTCTATTACATTCGGAGGGCGGGCGAAAACTAACCTTACTAATAATGTAAATGCCAAAGTTCGATGGATGGATGGATGTTTGTTACAGTTTGTAGCCTAAACGGCCGAAGAAAGGGAAATTTGGCATAGACGTAGAGGGTAGTCTGGAAGAACATATAGGTTACTCACTTTTGTTTTTTTTTTTAACTCCACGCGGACGGAGTCGCGAGCGAAAGCTAGTTATATTATAAATGTAAAAGTTTAGATGGATAGATGTTTGTTAGAGTTCGTAGCCTAAACTGCTGAACGGATTTCAATAAAATTTGTCATAGATGTAAAGGGATAGTCTGGAAGAACACATAGGCTATAATCTCACGCGAACGGAGTCGCGGGCGAAAGCTACTAGTTTTATAAAAGAAGAAATATATATGTAAAATATTTTGCTATCATTTATTTATATAACATTGCATAATATAATAATAAAGTTCTTTACTATAACAGAATTAAGTAGCGGTATTTGTCCTTATAAAACTCAACAAAAGTCCAGTGTAGTGTTTGCGAAAGGTTTTAGTTTTTCTTCAAACTCTCGCCATGAACATTCGCCATTGTTACATATTGACTCTAGAGGTCTCTCGTTCAAATAAAATACGACGTTGTAATCTGTTTTCTTGCCTTCAATGCATCTAAAATAAAAATGGTACATTCATAATAAATAGTCAATCTTTTGAATAAATAGTTAACCTTTAAAATATATCACATAATATAAATATCAATAAATAATTTTATGACTATGTTATTAGTATTGATTACTGCACATGTTGATAAGAATGCAAGTACAATGCAATCCAATCTATATAGTGGTTCGGAATATCGCATGAAAGCGCAAACACAATTTGAAATATTGGCGAGACATGATACAAGGTCGAGGCACACTCTTAAGTACCCACGTGGCATCCACCTGCCTATTGATATGCAGATTTGAGCTAGTAATTAACTACGAGTCGCTATAAATTTTGTATGTTATAGTACAAATTTTATTTCTATTACTACTACACCAAATGGTAAAACATTATGTATAGATTATCATAGTTTTAAAAAGTGCATACCTATTCAATGTCACCATTAAGTTCGAAGCGAAAGCTGATGATTTAGATGATCTCCACTTTCTTGTATCATTTCTAAACTCAGCTGTTAATGGTACCTCATCTTTAAAAAGGCCTAATGCGACGTATACCATGTCCATCATAGTTGCATGTGTAAAATATAATGTAAACTGCTTTCCATTTCCATTCTTTGCCTTTATGAATGTTTCTAATAAATCAGTTAAAGGAATACGTCCGAATATTTTGTTAACTGGTGTACCGTAACTATTTCTATAGTAATGTCGTAAGTCTCCAATGTATTCTAGTACTTTGATGTCTTCGGTGGTAAATAGTGCACACCATGGACTAAGTTTGTTGTGTATCCCAGAAGTAGTATAACGACACAGATCGTATAATGATGTTATATTTTCATTAGTCAATATATAGTCTATACCAGTTCTCTTTTGAATTCCCTCCTTTACCTAAAATTTAGTGTCAAATTACAAATTTCCATACATCATAGAATAGAATCAATTTTATATTCCTTTATTGAAATTGTTAATTTATTAATTAACTACAAACTTACTGCGAGAAATTCGTTCATGTCCTGATATTTTGTCGCTTCTGTGTATATATCTGGATTTTTTTTTACACCTTTCATGTAATAGTTACAGGATTCATAAGGCTGAGGAAATGTTAAAATTAATTTTAATAGTGTAAACTATAAAATTGTTATGTCCATTAAATAAATACCAACCGCCATAACATCGTAGGTTTTATTTGATTGTTCTATAACCAGTGATTCATTTCCTATGCCTTGGATAAATCCTCTAACACTGTTTTCTAGCCAATGTCCATAAGCTGATCGTAGAGTGTAATTCTTTTTGTCCGAATTCATAATTAAATCTTTAAACACTGCACTGAACCTTTGTCCCAGACCGGCCATTTCTTCATAACCCTCATTAGCTATCTGATGAACGTTACGAAACGTGTCCTCATCACTAACCCAATTGATTAAATTTTCAACATCTTGTGCGCACATATGACCGTCCCCTTTTTGATAGCTTCGTTTAATATAATCTTTTATAACAGTTGCATCTAACATTTTGCAAACAAAATTTTCACCGGGATTTCTTTTACCGTGTCTCACTAGTCCCCATAAACTAATCGGTTTACATCCTGGCAAACATTTTAGTCGTCAAATTTAATGTAAAATATATTAAAGGATATTTAATGTTAACTCACCTGGTTTTGTCACAACTGAATCTCTTATATCTCCTCTTACAAATTCGTATGGTGTTTTACTTGAAAAATATTTGTAATGACAATTTTCATTCCAATAGCAGATCTTTGACAGCGTTGTTGTAAAAAGTGTTGTCACTAGTATTAAAAATAACTTCATTTTTTAAAACTTAATTAAACAGAATTGTTTATTTAATACCAATCACTGCACGTAACTTTTGCGAGGTCATCAGCCAACTAACTCGTTGTATTGGTGACATTATGTTTTATGTAAGAAACGGCACCAGTTACTGTTTCTTGTTTATATTATCAATTAAAATGATTGTTTACAATTACTTAATATTTGTTTCGTATTTTGCTATTGAATTCTAAACAAAACTAGACATTTTGAATGATATATTTTCGATGATAGAAACAATTGCACATCGCGTTATGTTTGTTTGCTATCATTAACTATTGTTAGACGAACAGTGAATTTTTAAAAATTCTATAGCAAATATTACAAACATTTTTTAAACGTTTAATAAACGCTTGTTTTGATAAAAAATTGCTTTGAAACGATTGATTTCTGGTATTGAATTAATTATGAATTACTGACAAGTTTAAATTGCTCAAGAAAAAACTTACAGAGTGTCAGTCTGGAATTTTTTTATTACTCTTAATATCAAAATTCAAAGTAAGATATTTTGAAGCACGCGAGCATAATATTCTCAATAACACAAAAGGTTGCATGGAATGTAACGTGGTATTTATTCAAAGTATTCTTTCTTTCGTATTTTGAATGTTACTTAAACTTTTTATGATCAAATGCTGTTATATTATTATAATCTTAATTATTGATAACTTTGTACCTCGTAAGTGCGAAGTATGATAACCCGGTTTAACCAGTTTTATCGTAAATTACTCTGTTTTTTACAATAAGGTTGATAGGTCGATATTATGAAGATAAAGAAAATTTCAATCAGGGCAACATCATCATCTTTCTCCTTATCCTACTCCAGTAGGGTCGGTACAACAAGTTTTTGTCCTCCACATAACTCTATCATACGTCACCTCAGTTATCACACCTTTTTGATCTTGTCACATTTCACGCAATCCATCCATCTCCTTCTAGGTCTACCTCTACCGATGTACCCTTCAACACTTGTAACTATCGTTCTCATTGTAACATGCGATTCATCCTCCTCATAACATGCCCATACCATGCTAACCTTTTACTCCTTACCTTCTCTACCACTGGGGATACTCTCAAATTTCCTCTAATATACTTATTTTGTATCTTATCCATTCGTGTTACCCCACACATCTATCTTAACATTCGCATTTCTACTACATGTAGTCCTTTTCCTTAGATCATCGTCAGATCCTTACATCATGACAGGTCTTACGATGGCCTTGTAATTTCAATCAGGGCTGTGATCGTCATCTATCTTTGTGGGTATAAATAGCAATATGTCTAATTAAGCCTTGTTGAAATTTTTCGTGAATATCGAAACGATGTATTTAAAATAAAACATACAATTTGGCACAAATGTTTTATTTGTTCACTTAATTATCTTTCGTATAATTACGATGGCAACTAATATTTATTAAACGTTATTCTAATATACTCAGATAAATATTTATTTATTTTTGATTCTTGACATGCTTTCAAATTATTATTATTTTAATTACAATCTTTACTTAAATCCTTCAGAAGAAAATTAAAGTTTTCTTTAAGCGTAATAGTAATATACAACTTTAGAACTAATAATGTTATACTTTACCGATTTAATACATTTTATAAGCTTTACATTCGTTAGTTTCTCTTAAAATTATGTACATTTAAAATACAATATAATAAATATTTAAACAACTACACTTTAAATTACCTACACATAAAATTGGCGTCTTTTGATTTCTTAATACTTAATCGACTACATTTAATATAGATATTGACAATAGTGTTTTATAAGTCGACAAAGTATATTTGAAAATCGTTTTAAGTACTTATAAGATCTGATCTGAACAAAAAGGCTCAAACTTTGAGAGGTGAAATAAAAATTAAAATGAAAAAACATTTCATTTAAAAAAAAGCCTCACAAACTTAACCTAATTTACATTTTTTTACACACTAAACACAAAATAAAATCAACACAAAAACAGTAAACAACGTAAATAAGTATAAAAGCAAGTCTATATGCTAGTTTACTTAGAGATGGTGAGAGTTTGGAAATATTCGTCTCGGTGGGGACAGAACCTAACAAAAAACTGAATTTTTGTAAACCAAAACTGCTTATCTTTATATTATAGTCATTTAAATTTGATGTAATTTGCTATGAAACATTAAATTGTATCATTTTATAGAATTGAATGTTGGAATATTTCGCTCGATAGCATCAAATGCGAGCACAATAAGATTTTCTTTAAGAAGCTTACTTTTGAACGTTTCCTTAAAGCTCTCAAGTTATTTCTTGTCTGCACGTTTAAGTTGTTTGCTCGTTTAACTTTACTGTAACATAAGTAGTATTATTTTAAATGTGATACATTTATTTAATTCCCTAAACGTATACTGTAGTTGTTGTAAATGTGTATTGAAAGTATTTTCATTCGTTCATGAAAATGAAGTTACAGGGGACAGTTTAAAAAATAAAGTTGAGTATATTTATGTTTGTTTGGTTTTGTTTACTTAAACTATGAAAATCTAGACTTTTTAACAAAAATAAAGATTAAACAATGGATTTAATTGTTACTTATTAATTTATTCAGATCAGCTCTTATAACTATAGTTTTTAAACTACATGTTTTAAAAATTCACGGTTTATAATACTATAGACTTTTTATTTTAAAATATTTTCAATAAAATTCCAATTGATCTTTCTCCTCCCTCGTAGACTTGATCATTTTCTATTTTTGCCAGCTATTCAACCTAGGAATAAATGCGGTGATAAATAAAATTTTATTAGAATTTTACAAAGAATATGTAAAAGAAATTGAATCGAATTATACATATGACAAATTTTTAATTTACGTAATTTTTCTGTATCTTCTACGTGTAATCTTAAATTATTTACCAATAAATCTCTAGATCAATACCATATGTATATCTAAAAGAGAAATCCATAAGACTTTATATATCACTAGATGAATCACATCCATTAGAATTGATAAACTCATCATTTAAACTTGACGTTGGTCCAAAAATTTTAAATTTTCAAAAATATTATGAATGTCGATAACAGAAATTGAAAGTTAACATTTTTTATTTTACATATTATTTTTCATCAATTTTGCAATTTATTATAATTTATTTTGAAGTTGCAGAAGTATAATTTTCCAGTTTATTTTGCCTTTAACTATATTGAGTTTTGTACCTAAATTTTTATGAGGAATAACTAAAAAAATTTTAACGCAACGAATGCATGTTATTACAAAACATGTAAATAATGTCGATTTTCATTTGTTTTCTTTCATATCTGAAAAAATGAATTACTAAATACAGGTGCGTTTATTTTAAGTTTTCATTAAAATAGGGCTAGGGTGCAACTCTAAGAAAAAATTGTTACTTAATGTTAACAATTATTTTAATGGCAGTAATTTTTATATATTTTTTTTCTACAATAATCATTACTTTTTAATTTACTTAAGTTTCATTTTATTGGTTAAAATTGTTGGGGGTTTTATTTTTTTGATGTCCGATAATAAACTTTTATATGTCAAAACATAATAAATAGAACGTAGTTTACAATTTATTACATTATTTTGGCACAGCAAACACAATACAGTATCATGTTACTAGAGTAAAACCATATTTCAAATGAATTTACGACACTTGCAAAGTAATAAATCCATTAATATTTTTTATAACAATAAAACTCTACCACGAACTATTCTAAATTTAGGATAAAGCACTTCAAATGTCATGGTCATATCTACATTACATAACATATTCTACAGTCGATTTTATTAAACTACCAATCTTTATCTATTTATCATTCCTTAATGAGATTTATGGACGTCATTTCTTCCAATTTCCATTTACTTGCTAAACGTACCATTAGTTAAATTGTTTGACGCGAATATATTGAAGAAATTTCATTGTAAAATAAGGCAGCTTTAAATACAATACCAAGACACTCAAATGAACACCGATCGTTTAAGTAATATCTGGTAGGCAAACGCATCAAACAATGTAAAAAAGGCACCATATTCACGCTCGCTGGCGTAATCTTCACTATACTCCCGATCATCCTCATCTTGAGATTCAATGAGAAATACGAAGTGATCTATTTCTACAGACGATTTCTTTTCCAGATGTACCTGAGAACATTCAATTCATCCTGGATCTTGTTTAGGATCCAAGTTAGCTCGTCTTTCTTGTAGTGCTGCTAACAATGCCTCTCGGATTTCTCTTTCTGAACTACGCCATAACCTTATCAATTCTTCTTCTGATAGTTGAGACAGTTGTGATCTTCCCCCAGAATGTGATACTCTTGGATACGGTGGGGCAGGTGGTACATCATGGTCCTGGGAAACCATAATTTCTATACTAGCTCCATGTGTCGGTAGATCAATACTCAGATAATTATCAGATCTTTCTGAAACGTCTTGATATGAACGTGTAGATGATCCTTCAACTCGACGAACCATAGGTGATGGTGTTCGAAGGCGAGTATTAATGTCTGGAGGTGAATTTGTCAAACAGCTCACGTCACGACTAAGTCTTCGGCCAATATTAAGACTCGTTCTTTCATAGATAGATGCCGAGTCAGAACCTAAAACTGAATCAGTACTAAATCTTCTTACATTTAATCCAGCAACGCTGCAACGTTTCCTTCTACTTTTTGGTGAGCGAAGTTGTCTGGGTGAACGACCTTGTCTTGGGGAGCGACTGGATACATCGGGAGATGGAGATAAGAATTTTGATTCAGTAATTTCCTCCGACACTTCAGAAGTTTCAATAGCGACATTTTCTTTAATAGAATCCAATGAGTGATCTCTGCCTTGTTGGACCCTAACAAGTTACACAAAAATGCTTATTTTTTATTCTATAGAAGATAAAAGAAAAGAACTAAAATGAAGAATAAATTACCTTCTAATTTCTTGGATCATTTCAAAAAATTGTGCCTTACTCTTTCTTCTCCTGCGTTGTTCGTGTTCCTTCTGAAACAAATGTACTCTCCTGTCATAAACCGAAATTAAACTGTTTGGCCTTTTAGCCAGAGCTCTATGAACTGCTTACCCTTTTAACGCTTTTTTGAAAAAGAGAAGTAAAATGG